CCAGCCAATAAAGAAATCGCATATTCATTGCTAATAATATCTTAAGCGGTCCATATATTCTTTGGAGATTCTAATTTTCTAAGTAAAAATTTTTAACACAATATCCCATGTATACACAACTGATGCAATTCCAGTGTCAATAAAGAAAGTTCACCATATAATGAAGAGAGTATTGTAGACAAAGGCAAGAGATTCTCTTCAAATTACTTTGTTAGACCTAGAAACAAAGCATGCCTAGAGTAAACAAACCGATATTCTAAGTATAATTTGTAAACATATCTATTTCTGAAACTGAAACCGAAAAGAGATTAGTTATTCAAAATTTTTTTAGCAAGCGCGTTCATTCAAATTTTCTAGAAACTTAAAAAAAATGTGTGCATCTTACTGTAATGTGCAAAAAATAAGACACAGGCCAGATAAAATAACCTCTTATAGTTCTATTGTGTAACATGTATCCTTATAGATCCTAAATAGAGTAAGCATCGTTTCTATGAGTTTAATAGTGCGACGTTGTGTATCCTTCTTCCAAACATAAAGAAAACTTTAAACGATTGTTCCAGAAATGTTGGTGTGCATCACATAACGAACGAATATATCGTGTCAATCTTCTTACCAGCCATTTCAATTATCTGGTCACAAATGTAGATCTTGAGAAAAATGTATCGTGCATTATTTCATCGGAACACAAAAAAAAATTGTGAAAATTACAAGCTGTGACTTTAAAGCTACCTACTCAGTGCCGGAAATAGGCATGCAGCAGCTCGTACGATGCTGGGATTGCTGTTTAGAGAGATCGACAGTGTCTTCCACTAAAGGCCGCTCTAATCTAGCTTCCAATCGCGCCCATGCGTCAACCGCTGCCCCAAAAGCTGCCTCGACATTAGTGGCGTCTTTTGCTGATGTTTCAACTAACGGAGGATTATCATTCTCTGAACACCAAGCTTGAGCTTCTTCCATGTAAACTTGTCTCTCGGATTCAGGAACATCCACCTGTAAAAAAAAACATTGCACAACATGATATAGGATTACTTGATAAAGATCTTGCTTATTTCACAAGGAAAAAGACCAGAAATGGAAATGCGTTCTTGAAATGCAATTTTTGGAAAAAATAGTCCTTTATGCTTTAAAATAGCCTTATATTAAAAATACTAAACTCGTAACTTCAGATACCCCTTAATTTTTTCAGAAATTAATAATAAATATAAAAATTTTGAAATTATCGTATTGATTAATCATTTGGCAAGATATAGATCTTAAGGAAAAGAAGAAAGAGTATTTACAATTTTTTAGGATCAATTGATTTTTTCCTAAGAGATACATAGAAGATATAAATATAATTCGGATTAATGCATTTTCATCATTATCTTGGCAATGTAAACAGTAGATAGCGATGTTGTACTCGGGTTTCCATTAAGCCTAACTATACTTATACAGGATGTTCCAAAAGTAACGATAAATCTTTCGCACAGGGGCAAAATGAATTAAACTGAGAAGAAAAGTCCTCTACCATTTTACAATTTTCGCAATAATTAACAAGATATTAATTACTAAAAATTGTTGAAAATTGGTTTTAATAATTTTTTACTCAAATACTATCAACTTTACAGAAAAACTGCAACAGACAAAAATTGTCTATTTTCTTCTCATAGAGCTCTAAGAATTTTTTCAGAATTTTTTATCAACTTTTAGTACTGCATTTTCTTATTTTTACCAACATGAAAAAATACGGTATTGTGGCGACAAATACCGCCACGACAAATGACGAAAGATGCGTGGCATTTAGAATGAAAGCACGCATCTAGAGATAATATTGACTGTGCACACACACACACCTGCGAAGCGTAGACAGCAGAGGCATTTAAATGCCGCTGCTGTTTACGCGCGACGAGCCGAGAAATTCGGGATTAAATAATATAGATATTAAGAAGAAACGCAGTCGAACGGTTGGAAAATTATTATCGGTTAAAATTTTGAACAAAAATAAAGGTAACAATAGAGTCGAAACGGCGGTCGAATAAACAGAATAGACAATAGAAGCAAATAGAAAATATAGAAGTTTCGAAGAGGAAAAATGCGAGAAAGGTTGAGGAGTCAAGCGAGATTTCGGCGCTAGCATAAAGAGATTCGACAAAGAAACTTTGGAGAGCTCGGACGAGTATTGGAGTGTAGTCCGATACTTTATTAAAAACGCAGTTAATTTATACTAGTATCTTGAGTCAGTGCCTATCTTTCCTTTCCCGAAGATCTCTGATTAGTTTGCAGTACATAAATCCGCGCTCGCGAAATAACGACAAAGAAATATAATATTCGGCACCGCATTTATCGTCACATTTAATATTATTATTTAAACACGCAAAATAATATGGCGCAAAATCATGTAACTAAGGTGAACACTGGAATACATTAACCAGTACATTAACTTAAATACTTTTACCTAATTAATTACCGAAGTTACTTATTACCAAAGTATTAAAAAATTCTGAAAAAATTCTAAAAAAATTCTTAAAGCTCTATGAGAAAAAATAAACAATTTTTGTTTCTTGCAGTTTTTCTGTAAAGTTGATAGTATTTGAATAAAAAATTATTGAAGATTAATTTTCTCGGCAATTTTTAGCAATTAATATTTTGTTAACTATTGCAAAATGATAGAGGACTTTTTTTCTCGTTTAGTACATTCTGCCCCTTTGCTTGAAAAATTTATCGTTACTTATGCAAGGAAAGATTCAGTACCAACTTCACAACGTAAAACAGGCTGATATTCATAGTCGATTCTTACATTTAAAACTGTCTTAAGTACAATCTTAAGATGTCGTGTCAATCTGAAAACTGTATCAGCATTTTAAGACATTATTTAAGACGGTTTTAAGATAAGAACTATGGACTATGAACATGAACGCCCCATGTTTCGCGTTTCACAGTTGATAGCCCTTGAACATTATAAACAGTCCATAGACAGAAAGGGCAGAGATTTAGAAAGAGACACTGTCTAACTGCACACACCATGGTGTAAAAATACAAAGTATAACGTTCCTGCAAATGCGCAGGAGTATGAATTTGAATCCAAATTTGATTGGCTTCTAGTATGCTAATAGGTCTGTTCGCATTGCTCGCACTTTTTGCACTCGGCATCTTCGCTTTCTCCCTTTTCGAGCCAAATATATATCTATCTCATTTTAAGTGCAAAGATATTTGGGGATTTCATACAATGCGAACAGACCTACTGCTATTATATGCAGGGGGTGGCACCCAGTTGGACACGGCTCAATTGGACACGAGCCACTCACAGCTCTTGAGACTACAAAGCTCCTAAGCACTGGTCGCTGTGATTGGTGGTGTCCAATCGAGCCGTGATCAATCGAGATCACCCCGTATGCAGGAAAGTGCATTTGGACCCAAATTTGATTAGTTATTTCCAGTATGCTATCGCCATTATGCACGTTTCACCTTGTCTTATTATACCTTGACATACACGATGTTATCCTTCCATCATATCAGTTAGACCGGAATTGGACCATGCATTAAAGATTGAGATTAAAAATTAAAATTTCATCAATGAAGACAAAGAAATTTTGGCTCCTTTTGTTCTGATTAGTCAAACATCAATCTTTCAGTCTTTAATCTCATTTTTCAATGCATAGTCTCATTTTGGCCTTAGAGATCCTCAAATCAGAGATTGGATATCATTTAGACAATTTCCGATTGGTCCGCCATATTCCTCAGAACGCCCAAAATAGAACGAGATAGATGCAAAAGATGGAATGAGATGCATGGACTTTATTCTATCCCAGGCATAATCTACCTCATTTTATCCCAAGCAGGTCCTGAAAAACATGGTGAATCAAACGTATGGTGTCCAATCTCTGACTTGAGGATCTCTCGTATCAGTATCAGTGTGCTCCTCGCCCTGATAAAGTGAACTGATAAAGTTCACGAAATGTTGGCAATTAGTAACTGATTGCGTTGGTATTAGCAATTTTTGAAAAAACTACAGAATGTCTGATGCTAGAATTTGGGATTCTTATTATGAACACAAAGAACTGTCCTTTATAAAAACCATATTTCAAAAACGCGTTTCCATTTCTTCCCTTTTAGTTCTGATAGCACACCTTATTGCCAACAACAATAAATGGAAAAGTGGAGCCCTCCTGAACATTTGCATACTTAAGAAATTCAGATCTCCATAGCGTGAGATTTCTAAAACTCGTCTTATCGTCTACCGCGTAAGTAAGTAGACAAATGTCTGAGCCTCTGTAAAATGGTGTTCTAAGAGTCTTGAATCTTTCCTGTCCGGCTGTGTCCCATATTTGCAATGTATATGCCTCGCCGTTGATCTCAATATCCTTGTTCAGGAACTCTACTCCGATAGTATGAAAACTGTGTTCGTCGAAATGATTTGACACAAATCTATTCATAAGGCAGGACTTTCCAACACCACCATCTCCGAGAATCACCACTTTCAAGAGGGTGGATCTCTGCGAGTTTCGATTTTGAAGACTATTGCTGCCTCTGCCTGTACTCACCGACATTAAATTGTTTGCTAACATTTTCTAATTTGAGACCTGTATGCTTATTCTCTCCTCCCAATATCTATCTTAATATCTATCTTAACACGAAGTTTCGTTCAACAATTATTTCCAACGTGTGTACTCAACATTCATTTAAGCCTAATCGAATATTATTCTTATAGTTTCTCTGATCAGCTGGGAGCTCTTCAGTTTTTCCGAGCCCGTCGAATTATGTATCGTAACATAATGCTTTTTCACGTATTATCTGTGAGATATCTCCCTCCTTTCCTCTCTTCCTGTCTCACCCTGCTTACATCAAATAGCTAGCAAGAGTGTCTTGACATCTTTATTCTCTCTCGATTCTGGTGCATAACCTTATGATTTCGCGACTCGATCAGCGGCGAGTACCTCGTCGATATCTTGAATTTTGAAGCATCGGCGAACGGAGAACCGTTCAGCAGGATGAACTCGCGTCTACTTTCGTTTCCGTAATTTAATTCAACTGTCGCGTTGGGAATAAGAACGAAAACCGTCCTTTGTTTTATCGCGACATTCACGGACGACGCGCTTGTCAACAACGATAAAGCATTCCTGCGTCTCCAACGGTATCCAGAGATGCCAATTCTGTTACGGTTTACGACATCACGACTAGCGCCATCGGTCGGCGGCTTGGCGCAACAGGTAGTACATACGCAAGCACAAGCTCATGTACGTGTGACTCTGGTAGCAGAAGCCAGCCGATTCGCTGTCTTCGTCGCACTACGTTCTCTCCTTGTTCGCCTTTGGCGCGTTGAGAGCGAACGAGACAGCAAAAGAGAATCTGAGAGAGAGAATCCTTCTCCCTGACTCGCCGTTATCGTAGGGGAAAGTGGGCGAATTGTGCGCACCTAAGGGATATTTGTTTTTCTGGGATGGTTTTCTAAGTTCAAAGCGATATAAATAGGAAAATAGAAACTATAAACATTCTCCTACCATTACGTATTCTTATATTGAACAGATTTTCATTTAATAAGGTTGTATTTGGCAAAAAAGAAAAAACGGAAAAGAGAAAAAATTTGTCACGCGTCGGGTTATTGTGCGCATGGGTTAGGGAATTGTGCGCAAAGCAAAAGTTGTAGGAAGTGAATGAATTATGTATTGTTGACAAATAAAAAATCATAAAATATATTTATAACATTGTAATATAAATATACATTACATATATTATACCAAAGCTATCATTAAAATGAAAAGTCTAGCCATCTTCAAAAATGTAAACCTTTAACAATTGAAATAATAATGTAACAATATATATTATTATGAAAAGTAACTGATATATTATTCAAAGTCTCAGTTCAAAGTGAACATACATAAAGCGTATTCTCAAAAATGTAAACCTTTAAAAATTAAACTTTTATCTGATAATATATTGTTTCACAATATACATATATTCAAAAATTCAAATGATTA